GTCATCACATGATGCACAGCTGAGGTTGACCACTACCATCTCTTTTGTTTTTAGCACCATGTCCTTTTTAAATTTTGGTTGATACAGATTTTATCCTAGTTGTGTGGCTTTTCTCTTCCTTAAACGAGAGGTCTGAGAGATCTGGCTCGCTTGAATAATCCTTCTCTGTTCCCTCCATTCTTTAAACCTCCCACTTCATCCTTTTTGTCCAGACAGAGTAGGAGTTAAGTTTTCTGGCAAGAAAGTGTATGGCCTCTAGACCACATATTTCAGTTTGTGAAGGAAGTGTATACAGGGTGTTTGATGTAGCTGTAACACGATTAAACAATTTTCTATTTTTACCTGTTTGTTTGTTTAATTTTAAATATTGTTTTCTCGGTTCCCAAAATTTTAGTTGTTCCCATTTTATGAGCAATATTGAAAATGTGTTTCCCTGTCTGTTTTTTTTCATCATGACTAATATTCAGCTGCCACATACACATAATGTGACTGTTACTAAAGGAAGTCCTTCTTTAGCCTAAAATGTTGTTTAATTAGATTTTATTTTTTTATCATCAGGAGTGCAGAGAAAATAAGTCAAAAATCAGGGAGAGGCCTGTGACAACGTTTCAGGGGTAGCTACTATCTATGTTTTACTGCAATTCTGTCAAATATTCAACACTTATTATTGATGTTCAGGTGCTGCTTGAATGAGAAAAGTTGTAATGTTTGGCTACGTGACAAATAGAAGTCGAAGATGCAAATACAGACAACAGACCTTTAGTGCATCAATAAAAATCGGAGAAAATTAGCATACGTCATGTTCTTTTCGCTTCAAATGGAAGCTAGGGAAAATAAATACCAGAGACTACAGAGTACTCTGACCAGGTAAATAATGTATTAGTCCTCATTGGAAACAAGATCAAGATGTTTAATGATCTTTAGGTGCTTGTGAGACCAGTTCAGTGTTCTTAAGTTTTTTACCTTTAAATGTTGTTTTAGCTGAAGCAGTACTTTTGCCACAGTAGACGCTATATAGGTTCAATAGGAACTCATGAGCAATGTAAAAAATATGGTTGTTCCTAAGAAATACATAATGATTGGCCGAACAAACTGCACGTTCTTCCAGCACCAGCGCTACTAAAACTGCATTTACATTGCTAAAGTAGAGGCTAGTTAGCGTATGCCATTGTCTGTTTTGACATGCTCTTATTTGAATGTGTGCAAAGCATAGTAGACTGATCTGTCATATAACTCAATCTTCTGAATGCTTTTAGAGTTCATATATATTCAATGTTCAACATATTAAACGTAAGACCCATGACACAGTTCCATCTCTGGAGTCCTCAACTGTTATTAAAGTAACAGAAAGAAAAAGAAAGAAAAGAAGACTAGATCAAAGTTCATGCTCAATAATCCTTGTAAAAAATCCAACAAAGTTAAGTCAGGTCATCTGGACGATTTCCATTTTTGTTGAAACGTTTCATTCTTCATCCAAAGGACTTCATCAGTCGAAGGAGCCACAACAAACTCAGTCCCACAAACATCACACTCACATTGTGGGCCAACCAGTTTAATTGTAATAAGATGGTTTCTGGAGTCTGCCCTCTCCCCCATCGACTCCACTAAGGCAGCCATAGCCAAAGTGGTTCAAAACATCAAAGTTCATGCTCAATAATCCAGGTAGAAAATTCAACAAATTTAAGTAAGGTCATCTGGACAGTTTCTTTTTAAAAAATTTTAAACCATCTTATCACCAGCAAACTGGTTGGTCCACTATGGGAGGGTGCTGCTTGTGGGACTGAGTTTGTTGTGGCTCCTCGGACTGATGAAGTCCTTTGGATGAAGGATGAAACATCTCAATTCAATTCAATGTACATATATAGCTCCAATTCACAACAAAACACACAATGGCAACAGTGGAAAGGAAAAAAAAACTCCCTTTTAAAAGGAAGAAACCTCCAGCAGAACGAGGCTCAGGACAAGCGGCCATCTGCTTTGACCGACTGGGTTTGAAAGAACAGAAAGGAGAGACAAAAGAAAACAAAATGGCAGGTCCAGATGGAGATGCAGGTGTACCCCGTATCGGAGAAAGTCTCAACAAAAAAAGAAACTGTCCATATGACCAGATTTAACTTTGTTGGATTTTTAACCTGGATTATTGAGCATGAACTTTGATGTTTTGAACCACTTTGGCTAAGGCTGCCTCAGTGGCATTGACGGAGAAGAGGGCGGGCCCCAGAAACCATCTTATTACAATCAAACTGGTTGGTCTACTATGTGAGTGTGCTGCTTGTGGGACTGAGTTTGTTGTGACTCCTCGGACTGATGAAGTCCTTTGGATGAAGGACGAAACATCTCAACAAAAAAAGGAAATGTCCAGACGACATAACTGAACATTGTTGTAGACTTTGTTGAAGATGTTTATGAGAACATTGTTCTTTATATATCATACCTGTACTACAGAGCCTTCTGAATGGTATGTAGGACACAGCATGGCATAAAGTAGGCAATTTGTTATCACCTCAGCTGACACACATGATTAAATATTTAGTCACAAGTTTTTTGGAAATTTCTCATCTGTCCACAGACTGCAAAAGCCTTTGTCTTCAGTCTCAGGACAACACATTAACGCACACTGCTGTGTTGATAGCCAAACAGAAAATGTTGTAACCCGACTGACAGCCTGATCCCCGGGTCACTGAGTGTGTCATGCACACTCACCTCTAATGACCTGGATGTCTCTGTCTGTCAGTCTGTCTCAGTGTGTCTGTCAACTGGCAAACTTAATCTCCACCACTAATCACCTTCTTATAGGTAAGCTGGCAGTCATTATGCTTTTTGTGTCCCAATACAAACACGTAAAATAGATAAGTGCTGGACCAACAATGCAGGAGGTGCCAGGTCAAGTCCCAATGTGATGCTTTACCATCTGACAGAAACAGACCAATAAATCTGTAGGTACGGTTTAGAGAAAACTGTCTAGGAGAAAACTAGTAAAAGTATTGGAGATACAGGCTACAATTGTTGGGCCCCTTCTTGCTGAAGGATGATTCTTTCCAAATTTACTGAGGTCTAGTCAGGTTCTAATACAGGGTTGTGTAGGTTGTAGAGACAATAGTGTGTTGTATCGCAGGTTAAAGGTGACCATAATAACAGTAGCCTTCCAACCAAACATTAGCTAAAAAAGACTTTTGTAAAAATCCACTAGAAACTTATGAAAAGATCTATTATGTTACTCCTGTAACATTAAAGCTCTTAATATGTTGGCATTGATATGTCTGTAATCTTTATTAGCCATTCCTGTGAACAAACTTTGAATAGAATGAAAAGATGCTGTACGACAAGTTATTTTAAATAACACAATGTTCAACTTAGTTACAAAGTGTGGTGAATGACTTTTAATAGGCTGCTATCTTTGAAGGTTTTACATCAGTTCCCATTTATAGCTTATAAGAATGTTTGTATCTAAGATAGTTGTATTGCTTACCAGAAGAGTAACACATTGTGTGGCAACAATGATTCTTCTGAGAGATCTTGAGTGACCCTGCACACACTGTTCAACCTTTATTTACACAGGTCAGTCTCATTGAGCTACGAGGACTCATTTACAAGAGACCTGTGTAGTAGTAGTAGCAGCAGTAATACTAGTAGTAAATTAATTTTAAAGTAAAAACTGTTGTAAAAAGAAGCACAGCGGTGCAGTGGTTAGAGCTGTAGCCTCTCGGCAAGAAGGTTGCATAAATGCCTCCCATACTGGCACCTTTCAGGGTGGGCTTTTCATGTTCTCACACACACGTGGGTTTTCTCCAGGTACGCTGGTTTCCTCCCGCAGAGGAAATGCATGCATGTTAGGTGCATTGGTAACTCTAAATTGTATTTACTGGGCATTTGACTCTATGTGGCCCTGTGATGGACTGGTGACCTGAACAAGATGTACACTGCCTCTCCCAGAGAGACTGCTGGAGACAGCCACCACGTTGTTTGCCATACATATGGCAAGATATAAAAAAAGTAGGTCTAAATTGTTTTGTAAAAATGTTAAATGGTTATTAAAATTGTATGTTCTGCACAGAAGTCTGCTGGAGTCAGCCTCCCCACCATCACAGACATCTACACCTCCAGATGCAGGAAGAGGGCCACCTGCATCACGAAGGACCCCACTCACCCAGCACACACACTTTTTGCCCTGCTCCCCTTAGGAAGGAGGTTAAGGAGCATTAAGTGTAGAACCACTAGACTGAGGAACAGCTTCTACCCTGAGGCTGTTAGACTCATGAATCTCTCACCAAAATAATCACTGTGAGAAATTGCATCATGTTGCTGCTGATCTGTTTCATGTTGCTGTGTTCATTCATGCTCATCTGCTCACACAGACTCATGTTCGTGCTGCTGTTCGGCACAGTTTTTATACTACTAGTGCTTAGTGTATTTTTAGTTAACATTTTTCTTAGTTCATATCTTATTACTGTTTTTCTTTTACATTTCATACTTTTGTTGGATGTAACTGGGACCCTGTGTACACAATTTCTTTCCACCACATGTACCACATGTGGTGTGAATGACATACAGAACCTTGCATCCTTGAATATTCTTTTTTTTTTTAAGCTTATCATTAACATTTTTGCATTTTAGCAAGTAAGAGTAGTGATCTCAAACCTCCATGCCAAGCACTAAGTATTCATGACAACAATTTTAAATTCCTTCTAACATCCATTCATTATCTTTACCCGCTTCTTCATTTCCGGGTCGCAGTTGAGGCTAAATAATGTTTTTGATAACCCAACATTTTTCAGTCAGGTCATCTGGACAGTTTCTTAGAACTTGACTGAAAAATGTTGGATTGTATTCCTGGATTATTGAGCATGGACTTTGTTGTTTTTGATAACCATTTTTGAAGCTCATTTGATCTTGTCAAGACCCCACACTTGGTGTTTCATGTCCCCACGTGGGGCCACGACCCCAGCTTTGGGAACCACTGCTTTAAAGCGCATTGTAAGAGTTATGAGTAGTGTCTTTACCTCCGCGTTAAAGCCGCTCTCGTGCTCCGCTCCTCGCGCGCACACGGCGCACAGCCACAGCGCGAGCAGGGTCCGTCTCCAGAGCATCCAGATGTCTCGTGAGGTGGAGGCCATGTTCTATTTATTTTATTTTTCAGGGGAAAGAGCCGGTGCTTCGGTCCCACCTGGTGATGGAGTTCGACTGTAAGTTTGTACCGGACGCAGCCGCCTCGTGCCGAGCTGTGGAGTCACTGAACGTTTAGGGCAGAGCTGACAGGACAGTGTTCAGCTCTGCACCTGGAACCTGCTGGAGGAGCTCCATCCCAGACTCACGGGTCCACCTCGGTCCCTCTGAGCCCGCGCCTCATGTCATTCACACCTACTTCACTGCAGTCCCGAACGTGCACGTGCCTCAAATAAAACACCTTAAACATGTCCGGCAACTTCACCTCTCAACACATTTCACATTTACAGAGATGCGTGGGTGAATTACTCACTGCTAACATGTTGCTAACATGTTCACACCCGGTAAGATACAATGTTACTGACCGGAGGGGGAGCGACCAGAACAAAGTTACAAGAAGAAGTCCAAAGTTCGCAGCAGCTGATCCTCTCCGCTTCAAAACAAAAACAACTGTTCAGTGTTGATCAGATCAAGTGTGCTGCTGCTCCTCTGCTCCTGCATCCAGTCTTTTCTCCTCCTTCCACCGGAGAGCTCCTCCTGAGACCCGGTACCAAAGCCCGTCCGACAGGTTCGGTTCTGTCACCCTGCCGGCCCGGAGCAGGTCGCAGAGAGGAGCGCTGGTTGTTTCAGAACCTCCTGTGGAGTCACAGCGTCAGTGCAGCATGAGTGACGTCTTCCTTTTAAAGCCTTTCACAATAAAAGCTCCGCCCTCAGGTGATTGACGTTTTATCGCGCGGCTTTGCCGGAAGTAAAGTTAAGTTGTTTATTTGTCAGATGCAGGTTAACACAAGATCAACAGCGCAATGACATGTTCAGGATGAGAAGAACTGATGTGACTCGCTAAAAACAAAGAGCAAACAAACAAGAAATACTGAAGCATGCAATAAGGGTGCAACATAAAGTACAAAAAAGTGAAAAATAAATTTATACAATACGTACAAGATCCAAAAGAAATATAACAAAAAAGAACATGGTAGAACTGAATGGTGCAATTGGATGAATTCGTATAAATAAGTATTTCACAGGTTGTATAAACTTAAATACACATGATATATACTGACTGGCCAAAAAAAAAACAAAAAAAAAGTTGCCACCTGGATTTAACTAAGCAAATATGTAAGAGCCTCCTATTGGATTATTACTGGGCGATTATCTTTCAGCTGGCAACAAGTTATTTAACTCCAACTGGTGCAATGAGTTGCTTCTCATTTCTTAAACAACTATGTTGAAAGACGCATCGCGTGGACGTGGAAAAGATGTCAGTCTGTTTGAGAAGGGTCAAATCATTGGCATCAAGCAGAGAAAACATCTAAGGAGCTTGCAGAAACTACTAAAATTGGGTTAAGAACTGTCCAACACTTTATTAAAAACTGGAAGGATAGTGGGGACCCATTGTCTTCGAGGAAGAAATGTGGCTGGAAAAAAATCCTAAATGATCATGATCGGCGATCACTTAAACGTTTGGTGAAAGCAAATCGAATAAAAACAACAGCAGCACTCAGGGCTGTGTTTAATAGTGAAAGTAAGAGCATTTCCACACACACAATGTGAAGGGAACTCAAGAGACTGGATGGGACCGAACAGCTGTGCAGCCTTAAGAAAACCACTAACCAGTGAGGCTAACTGGGAAAAAAAGGCTTCAATTTGCTAGGAAGCATAAAGATTGGACGCTGGAGCAATGGAAGAAGGTCATGTGGTCTGATGAGTCCAGATGTACCTTGTTCCAGAGTGATGGGTGCATCAGGGTAAGAAGAGAGGCAGGTGAAGTGATGCATCCATCATGCCTAGTGTCTAGTTATCAGTGCAAGATCTTGGTGAAAAATTAATGCAACACTGGATGGAAACAGATCTTGTGACATTGTAGAAGCTTATTGAAACAATGCCACAGTGAATGCATGATGTCATCAAAGCTAAAGGTGGTCCAATGAAATATTAGTGTGTGACTTTTTTTGGTGGCAACTTTTTTTTTCAGTCAGTGTATATTGCACATAAGTTCAAGTTCAAGTCAAATTTATTGTCATTCGCATCACGTGTGCTACATGAGGTGGAATAAAATGATGTACTCAGGTTCCCAGTTACAGACCGAAATAGCAAAAATATAAAGTATTAAAAGAAACAGTATATAATGATCTAAGATATACACTAAAACATATGCTAAATGAACGTCAGAAGATGTAAGATATACACTAAACACTAATGTAAAACAATATGGCGTATCAACAGCAGCGCGAACATGAGTCTGTAGTGAGTAGATGGATATGAATGAATACAGCAGCATGAATTATCAGCAGCACAGATAAGTCACATATCACCAATTAAAGTGGCATTACAGTGTTGTTGTTTTTTTTTTTTTTTGTGATATACATAACTAACATATACGACTCAGGTTGTGTGACAGGTTATTGCACAGGTAGTGAGTAACATTGAGATGAATTGAATTATGATGGTAAGGTAGTGACATACAGCCACAGTGCAGCAGCAATAAACATTAGGTGTAACAGATGTGGCTTGGTGCAAAGTTATTGTCAATTGTTCAGTATCATTATCAAGAGTTCAGTAATCTGACAGGTTGTGGATAATAACTGTCTTTAAGTCTTTTCGTTCGCGATGGGAAGCTCCTGTATCGTCTGCCTGAGGGAAGTACACGGAAAAGTCCTTGTGCTGGGTGAGTGTGGCATAATGGGAAAGTTAAATTTAAAACATCTATTTCTCAGTTATTACATATCAGCAGCACTGACTCATTTATACTATTCAACAATACTTTA